GAAACAAACCACCTAAAATATACGTGATTGATGAATTGGCGGAACAACATGGGCACAAAGTTCTTCGTCTGCCTCCTTATCATTGTATATTTAACCCTATTGAGTTAATTTGGGGCATAGCAAAAGGTTACTATAACAGACATATTGGTAGAGATGGTAACAGTGAAAAAGACTGTTTGGATATGTGGAACGAGGCTCTACAAACGGTTACCCCAGACATGTGGAAAAATAGTGTTCGACATACTGAGCAAGAAATTTTTAAATGGTATGAAAGAGAACGAATTTTTGATCGACCAGACATCGAACCTTTAATAATCAACTTTGAGAGTGATGAAGATTCAGATTCAGACAGCGCTGAAGAAAGAAACTCCGACTAACTTTATTGTACAGAAAAAGCTTACACCAGTAGCTTACCTAATTTTAGAATGCATTTTTCTGTATGAATTCTGTAAAATAAATACCATGCATAAAATTTGGAGGACCCCATTTGGATTTTTATTCAGTACCTTTAAGCTATCAATTAAATATGGTAGTTTCATAGTGTCATCTGATCAATAATTGTCATACTTAATGATTATGCAAGTACAGATCTATAATTTTATTATACTATTATTTTTGTTCTCATTTGAGGTTAATATTGCTTATAAACCTAGATATGTAAATAATAAATTTTATTATTTTAGAAAAAGTTTGGCAACAATGTAAATTTTTCAACACACCCACCTTGATGACGTGCACGCCACTTTGTTTGGCGTTGACTATAAACGACTTTTTTTACTGATACAACACTCGACGGAATAACAACTTGGCTTTGAAGAAAATGCGTGTTTATAGGTGGAGAGAGAGGAGGAAGGTAGCGGGGGCGCGGTGCCGCTTTGAAATCGTGGGGGTTTGGTGAGCTACGAGGGTACCACGTTATGTATTCTAAATATTTACTTAGACGAGGACGGTACATAATGAGCCCTAGTTCATAGATTTTCTTATTTCTTATTGAGCTCAACTATATTGTTTCCATAATTGTCGATACATCGACGTTTGCTAGTAAATCTAACCGCGCTTATGTTACTGTATACATTGTCTTTACCATTGTAAATACCTTATTTGATGAGTATCCATCACGCTTTGATATCTACTGAGGTAAATAGCTGATCAGCAAGTGACATTTTTCTGTTAGTCTGCGACGTTGGTAATAATCAATCGGGTGTAGATCTAGTAAAACTTGTTTGTAGCGTTTTGTTTTTGTATGCAAACGAAATTTTCTAAATAAAAGAGCTGTTAGCAAGTATAAAATGAATCTGCAGTACAAAAAACAAAAAAAAATACGGCTTCGACTACCTGACGTTAACGGATCGGTCAGAATTATGTGTCCTGTGCCCATACGGGGATTTTTGAGATATTACTAGATAATCAGCTATCATTCTACCGTGATAGATACTCGTGAAATAGGATATACCTTATACGTACTGTTAAAATTGTCTACGCACTGATATCTTGTCCATGCAGTGTCTACGTCGAAACGTAGACAATTAAGGTTGCTCTGGGCCAAGGAGCCACACAGCTTAGTATGGGCCTGCCTGACAACTTTTGTGAAGTGGCAAAGTGAAAATTATTAAAGGGTAAGGTTATCAAACGATTGGACTATATCTGGTTACATAACGATTATTTTGTATCGCACTTACGAAGTCCTTACTCATAGGTAAGCAAATACAGGATATCTTATCATATTGCAATTTGTTCAACTAACGTTATCGATTATCGAATCCAAGGATAAACTATAATCCTTGCAGTTTTTATCAAACATCTTCTTCAAAACGACTCGCACTCATTTCTATTATTACAAGCTTTTATTTAACTAGACCTAATCTTAACCAATTGAGCTGAAATTTTGGTCACACGTTTGGTTTACCTGACTGCGAAATAAATTAACTGCCACCATTTTGAATCTCAATATCTTACAAAATGTCGATTCATCATTTTCATAGTAACCCCTGTGGTATGAGTATCAACTCAAAGGACTTGATGAGTTTAACGTAATAAGCAAAGTGACATCATCCTTAATCAAATGCGGCACTCGTTGCAACATGCCGATTTACATTTTTCATAGTTGCCCCAATAGTGCCCTCGTAGCAGAGAGTGCCGCCGTATCTGCATTTTTTCAATTCAGTCAGGAATACTGTCTTAGTATTTAGACTACGCGGAATTCTTTCCTGTATCAAAAAAAATCGTATCTACAACGTAAATGCTCCAAACTGCACATACGTTTTTTATATTATGACGTAATAATTGAAGTTTTTAGCTTAAAACCCCCCCAGACGACTTAAGCAGTCTTTGAAAAGGTGATTGCCACGCCTTTTTTTGATTAATTAATAAAACACAATGATAAATGCTATCTAACGGTTGGTCAATAAACTATTAAATTTGCCATAAGAAAATCATTGACCTAGGAATGGGCACTCTATCATCACTGAAGAGAAATTCAAATTATGGATAAGTGATAAATAGTAAATAAAAGGTTACGTGATTTTGGCACGTAACATGGTATAAAGTAAACGTCTTATAAAAAAATCTGTAACTTTAAGAAAGGATACCAGCAACACGGCCAACCCGCTCAGTGCGCATGCGACTACTCTCCCACCAACAGCAACGGTGTGCGCTACTTCCTGTTGGAACAGGTATAGTCTAGTCTTTTATGGTCTAGTCTAGTGTCTAAATTCTGTACAAGTCCGGAGTTCGCAACAAAATTTGGCTGAGAAATGAACAAGTGGAGTTTTGATGATCTGGTTGGTATTAACGCTATTTCCTATGTTCTATTTTTATCCTATAAAAAGAATCGTGTCTAAAAAATGACAAAAATTTAAATTTAATATCATTTCAATTACGAAGTGTTTGGTCCATACTCCAGCTATTATTATGTCTCGGAAGTCCCTGTATATAAGCACTTCAGTGCTGTTGATTTTACGTAGCAGTCGTGAATGTCAACAGTTCTTGATATTTTTTAACCGTTATTTCAATGGTAAAATATGATATTCATGTGTCAATTTCACCAACCCAAGTTTCAGTTTGCTAACATGACCCGTTCAAAAAGTAAGTAGGGGCACCTTTCTGTAAAACACTGTATAGTAAGTACAGCAATTAAAACAGTATAGAATGAAATATCAATCTAATTCTCTTGGAAGGATTTGTCCGAATAAATATGCAATAGTAAAATATGAAACCCCATCTAAAAAATCGTAAAAACCTTTAACTTTTTTTAAACTTAATGACTCATATATTTTTGCAGATTCGGATATACTCTTCCAGAAGAAGAATATTTATAACATACTACAGAGTTCTGATGATTAGTTATTGAGTATAAGTGATTCAATATACAAACACGCTTAACTTAGAGAACCTAACAGTCCTTCATTTTGAAGTCTTATATCCTCTGATTGTAAAGTACTCATAAAGATCTTCAAAATAAGCTATCGCATGACCCCCTTCTATTTGAAAAATGTACCAAGATAGAGCCAAGCTCCATCCTGATATTTCCAACTGTTGTTTTCATGGTGAAATGTGATCTATTCGTCATTGTCTGTCAGAGCGATCCGTACGACCTTTGCTCTTGGTTGAAGTCTTGTAAATCAGTGGGTCTGTCAGGTCTGGTTGCCCAGACACCAAACAAAGTCAGGGAGAAAGAAGGGAAGAAGAAATGAAGGAGGGAGGGCAAAGAAAAAAGAAGTGCATCAATTTGAAGGGGTGCCTTGGCATTGCTAGTTGGTATTCCCCCTGGTTACTCGTTCAACAAGCCTTATAGTCTGTAGCTCCGTACTATGCTCAGACCGAAAGCCAAATTGCACGTCAGGAGTCACATTGTGGTCTGCCTACAAATTTTCGAGGTGACGTAGAATCATCTTCTCAGCGAGCTTAGAAGGAGACTATTGGGGCGGTAATCCTGGGAGAATATCGAACCCACCTTCTTTGGAATCATTATGACATCAGTGGGCTTCCACGCCGTTGGAAGTGCTGGGTCCTTAGCATGGCATTGATTATTGCCACGAGATAAGTTAAGTACTTTCGCGAAAGTAGCTTCAGCGCCTTATTAGTGATTCGATCCTCTCCAGGTGCTTTACGCACCTTGAGGTCTTTAATATGACCTTGGAGCTCTGATAGTGTGCAATGCGGAGTCTCAGGAGATTCCGCTGATGTGCCGTGCGGCTCTTCAGTTGAGGAATCTTCTGAAGATTCCTCTGAGAAAAAATCTCTAAGGGAGGCACTACTGCCACTGACGCCGTTGGCCCTAAAATATTTCCTGACTGATCTTACAATATGTTGCTCCTCGTCGAGGTCATTATCAAGGTCATAGTTGGGAGAGATCTGACTTTCCATTGCATCAGCGAAAACCTCGACCTACAGACTATGCCGCTAGGACCGTGGATGTGCGGAAGTTGTTCTCGCTTTCCGTTTCTGAGCGACTTTGCAACTTTCCAGAGAGGAATACTTGAGTCAAGCATCTCCGACAGAAAGTCGCTCCATTGCTCATTACGGAATTCATGAAGAGCATTTCTCACTTCATGAACAAGATTCGTTGCTCTGTGAATGTCATCTGGGTGACGTTAAAATGTGATACTCATGTGCCAATTTCACCAACCCAAATTTCAGTTTGGTAACTTCATCCGTTCAAAAAGTAAGTAGGGACGACCTTTCTGCAACATACTACATAGCAGAACAGCAAGTAATCTGTGTTTTTTGAGTAGCGACATAGTTATGTTCAGTAGGAGCAGAAACAGCCTACTCATAACCCTAGAACGGTGGTCGCTAACCTTTTCAGTGTGTTGAGCTACTCTGATAATTCTGGAATAAACAGTGAGTTACCTAGTCCTGAAAAATGTAAGCCAAATTTAAAGGAAATTATACACAGTTGTATTCGACATACATGTGTTTATTTTACTAATACTATTACATAATAATAAACTTAAATAAACTAACAACTAATACATACTACATAACTAACATCCACTCCTGCCAACCATAGGTATTTGAAAAATAAACAAAATTACAGCTACAATGGTATGACACATAGGATTTAATGACGGTAACTAAAAATGAAAAATCAACGCACTATCTTAAATAAAAACATGTCCAAAGAAAAAATGCGTGTTCAATGAGAAGCCTGACACTCAGACTCACTGACAATTTTCTTTAATGTTTGGAGTATAATTTAATACCATCATTCGAATAAAATTATCTAAATGTTCATCTGCAAGTCGATTGCGGTATTCGTTTTTAATAAGCTTCATATTTGAAAAAGAAGATTGACACCAATAGGTTGAACTAAATAACGTTTTCAGTTATAAGACACCATGGCACCTTTACTTACTGAACACTGAAGGCCAGATACATTTTGTATTTGAGACTAATGATTTTAAAGCTAGATCATTTTGAAACGCGATGTCTAAAATTCTGGGTAAACTATTGGATATCAATTTCCATGAAGGTTGTAATCCTCGAAACTATTTTTGAAGTTATCCTTCAAGTTAGAGACTATTTCTACATGATATTTTTTGCCATATGGTTCTAATGGACTTTCAGATACCTTTTCTGAAAGAATAGGAAAATCTCTAAGCCGGATTGAATTTTCCAGTTCCGGAATCGATTCATCACGTTGTTTGAAAAATTGAACTATGGCAGATATGATACCATTAAAACGTTGGTCCCCTACTTAACCATCGAACTTCAGAGTGAATAAGTAGCTCCCCATATTGACAGTCAATTTCATCGGCCAAGGTTTTGAATACGCTTGAGCTCTTATCTTGTTCACACTTTTTAGTACCAATTTCATAACGTTCTTTAGTTTAGAGTAGATACATTGCGGAAAACCATAGCTGGAGCGCCATCGATTGTCAGGCCTACCATTTTCGTCAATTTCAGCTTGCTAACTTGATCCGTTCAAAAAGTAAAACACTGTACAGTAGAGCAGCAAATAATATGTGCGGTAGCGACGTAGCTACGTTTAGTGGTAGGAAACAGAAACAAGCTACTCATAATGAGTATATTACTTAAGTATACATAATGAAGTAAAATGTTGCCACCATTAGGGCCAGAGATGACATGAAAGCCTTGCTGGAGTTGCAACAATCCGTATTACATGTGTAACAGGCTTTAATGGTTGAATTGTCCATTTTAGCCATTTCTTTTTGAAAATCGCATGCATCTATGCCTTCAAATATCTTCGGGATGCAGCCTCTTTTTATCTGATCTAAAAAAACGAAGAAATGTGTTAGTTAAGGTCATAAAAAATGATCGAGTGGACTTTAATTCAAGATTTTAGAAAAATCCTCAGCTAGAATGAAAAGATATAATTTTATTGTCATAGACATTCGAAATCTTTCACAGATGAAAACGTTCGCCGTGCTCATCACTTACGGCTCCGCAATTGTCAGGAAAAAAGTCCAGGTGTGAGTGTAGGAAGTGTATCTTAAGAGACATATTACAGCATATCTTTTGATACGATGACAGCATATTTTTGACAAGGGTTTTATAGTTGTCAGCTTTTATATTTTCCAAGAAATTAGTGACCACCAGGCGGAAATCATTCTAAGCAGTTTTTTCAATACCTGTTAAAGTGTTTTCAAACTGTGTATCTCTCAAAATATTTCGAATCTGTGGCTCAACAAAAATACCTTCTTTAACCTTTGCCTCACTTAGTCTTGAAAATTTCTGTCGCAGATACTGAAAAGCTAATGCCTTGACAAAGTTTTTCATTAGGCCCAACTTGATATGCAGTGGTGGTAATAAAATTTTTTTCGAATCTACTAATAGCATATGCTGTACATTTTTTTGACCTGGCTCTAGGAATTGACGAACAGGCCAGTTTTGTCTGGTGTAATGAAGTGCCTTTGCGCGACTGTCCCATTCACACAAAAAACAGCAAAACTTTGTGTAGCCTAGCTGCAGCCCAAGTAAAAGTGCAACAACTTTCAAATCGCCACAAATATGCTCATCGTATTTTATGCACGTCAATAGGTACTTCATATTGTCATATGATTCTTTCATGTGAACTGCATACCCTACAGGAAGAGATGGTAAAATATTTCCAATATGCAATAACACTGTCTTTAAACTCAATGTTGTACTGTCTATAAACAATCTCCAGTCTTCTGGGTTATAGTTTATATTTAAAGCCGCCAGTAAGCCGTTAATGTTACTGCAGAAAACCAAGTTATTCTCCATATTGAAAAATGGTTCTAAGTCTTTGCGGCGTTTACGGTAACAATCATTAATAAGATTTGTAGGCTCTCTCCAAACCATTGGGACAGCAAAGCGCATAGACCGTTTTTTTGCCATTTAACCAGCTCCTCAGACTTGAAGCACATGTATTACAGCAGATGTGGGGTGCCAACTGTTTGTCTTGATCTCCTAGTTTACAACCGAAATAAAGCTGATATGCCTTTGTTATTAGTGGAGTAATAGACCGTCTCTGAGACGCAAAAGTCACATCACCACACACGTAACAAAACTGATCTGGATTGTTTACACACTTTCGAGACATCTTGCATGAACGCTGTCAGCCAACTGAGGAAAAAATGGCTAATATAAAACAATATAATGTACACGTATGTATAACGTAACACAATCATGCCGATTACATCATCTTTCCTTGCCGAATATAAAAATGTAGCACGTGCATTCTTGTGAATTACAGTATATTAACACTGTCACAGCAGGAACACATATAATTACCGTATCTCTAAAACTGGAACTAATATTGAAAAAATAAGTTTCATTCCGGTTTTAGCACATTAAAAATAGTAATATTTTGTTGATTTTATTTAGGATATTTTTTGGCTGTTTTCCTTAATTTAGTAAAATTAATTAGTTTAAATATTAATGTAATGTGATTTAATTTAGTGTTTATTTGTTGTTACATAATTAGTAATAGTAATGCAAGATGTGACAAAATCAAAGAGAAAAAACTTGCATTTCCATTTTCTTAATCCAAAAAATGTAATACAACAAAAGTCAGTGGCGTACATTTTTTGTCACAAACATTCGTTCAGATCCCAATCGAGACGCTACTGGATTTAATAAATGTAATCAGCTAGGACTGAATTAGCTCTTTAATGCACCACTGCCAAATTAGAACAAAATTAGGTAAATGATATTTAAGAAATTTAGGAAAACACTTTTTTTTTTGAATTTTAGCACCCTCTATCTTGATAACCAAAAATTTTTTTTATAAGTTTATATATTATAATGAGCAACTTTATTTCGTTTTTAGATTTAATTAATTAATACTAATAGTATTCCAAATATAAATGGTCGATACTGGATTTAATTTTAGGAAATATCGAAATAGAAGTCCTCAGAGATAATACACCTTCTGTTAAAGATGACGTTCATCATCCTGCACTGATCATGGAATTCATTACATCCGGATCTCCAACGAAATTTCCATTTGCTAATTCTCCACGGTTTAACTTTCACAAAGCTAACTTTCCTGAAATGTACACAGCCGCAAGATGTTAATTTGACGGAGGTGATCAGTGCAGTTAATGTTGATGTCGCTTGTACCGCCTTGTATTCAGTTATCAATAACATCTTTGAGGTCCATGTCCCTAAATGTAAAAATAAAATGTTTTCGTATCCCCCATGGTCCATACGTGAAATTATACTTAATATCAAGAAGGACATAGCAAGAAGGAACTGGAAACGTGACGGTACTAAGTTTTCTTATGATCAGTTCAGTAATTTTAGGAAACTCATTAAGAACCAGATCAGAGTTGCCTACTCCGCTTACGTCCAATCGGTTGAGGATGCCATTGTCAATGATCCTAGCAAATTCTGGTCATTTGCCCAGATCAAAAAACAGCAATCTAGAATCTCCCCAAGGATGACGCTTAACGGCAATGTCTGCGATACGCCTCAGGATATAGTGGACAGTTTTGCTACCTTCTTTTCAACAGTTTTTATCCCGTCTGGTCTACGTCTGGATGTGATGGTATTCCAAGTTTTTTCGTTAAAGATTGCATTCATATACTAGCGAAACCGCTGGCTTCCATATTCAACCTAATTCTAAAATCAGAGACATATCCAAATATCTGGAAGACCTCTAAAATATGTCCTATTCATAAAAGTGGAGATATATCTGATATTTCCAACTATCGCCAAATAGCAATCCTGTGCAATTTCAGCAAGTTGTTTGAGATCATCGCTTATCAAACGGTTTACTGCTCGGTCAGGGGTGCAGTCTCTATTAATCAATCAGCATGGGTTTATGAGAGGCAGATCTACGGTCACCAACTTGGCTCTAATTACTCAGTGCGTTTCTGAAGTACTGGACGGTCAGGGACAAGTTGATGTCATCTACACAGATATTCAGAAGGCGTTTGATCAACTTGCTCATTATGCACTTCTGGATAAGCTTAAAACATTGGGTATGTCTGATGCAATGCTGTCGCTCATGAATTCATATTTGCGGGATAGAAGGTTATTTGTCGAATATGGTGGTCATAGGTCGAGTTACTATCGGGCCACGTCCGGGGTACCTCAAGGGTCAAATCTAGGTCCATTATTGTTTTTGATATTTATTAATGACTTGTCTTTTGAACTGAAGTGTTTCCATTTGTTTCTCGCTGATGACCTTAAAATCTGCAAGTTAGTCAAGATAGTCGAGGATTGCGTCATGTTGCAAGATGACTTAGCTCTAATTTCGTCATAGTGTTCACGAAACTGTCTCAGTCTGAATGTTTTGAAATGTAAAGCTATGACTTATACAAGAAAGATTAACCATTTAATTTACGGTCAGGTTATAGACAGATGCACCGCTTATAGAGACCTTGGAGTCACTTTTGATACCAAGCTAACGTTTACTGAGCATATACTCAATATCTCGTCGTCTGCCACTCGACTACTTGGTTTCTGTATCAGAAACTGGAAGGGTTTCTCCAATGTTGATACATTAATGACTTTATTTTTTACGTTTGTCAGGAGCAAGTTGGAGTATGCGACTCTGATCTGGTCTCCTATATACCAAAATTCTGTCATGATCCTTGAGGCCATTCAACGTAAAGCTTTAAAGTATTTTCACCTCAAATGCACAGGTTCTTATCCAGAAAGAGGTTGTGACCATAGTGCCGTGTTAGAGTTTTTCAATTTGGATTCACTGTCAACAAGACGAAACATATTTGCTTTGTCGTTTTTGTATGGCCTCATTCAAAATAAAATTGCCTGTCAAAATTTACTTGAAAAAATATGTTTCCGCGTTCCAAGGCTAGGAAGTCGACAATAAACGGCATTCTATTGCCAAGCTGGCCGTACAAATGTTATGACAAAATCGCCAATTAATCTCATGTGCTGCGTCATGAACAGTGTTACTGAATCGTGTGATATTTACAGTGACAGTTGTGCATCGATTATTAACTGCTATAGATCATCCAATCTTATTTAGAATGTGTGATACTATAGATTTAAGCCCAAGAACCATGTCTCTCTAATTGCTATTTTTTTCAGCATTTCCTGTAATTGTGTTTCACCTGTTGGAAATAAATAAATATACGTAAATTTCTTGTCTCAAAATTACTCAAAAAATCGTCTGTTAAATGTATGGTGGATACTCAATTAACACCCTAAACACCCTGTATCTCTTTAGCAATTTTTTTTAACATGTTTCGGTCTCGGCTCCGACACTAATCCTCTTACATAACAACGACCTCCTTTTCTGTACGAGGAAGCCAATCCTTTGCTGATGATAGCACTCTACATGCAGGAATTTAGTGCGTCAAGCCGATCTCTGCCAGTGAGCTGTAAAAAAAGACTAGCGGCGACTTCTTCTCTGACGAGAGATTTGGACACTGTTTGGGGACCCAACAATTTGATACAGTATAATGCTTCCAAAACACAGTAATGTGCCTTAACTAATAAGAAGCGTTCTAGCGCTCATCCAGTCTCGACAGACGGCCAAGTCTTACCAAAGGGCTGTTAATTTCCGCTGGTTGGTGTCCAGATCACATACTATAGGACTTGATTTGGCACGAATACTCAAAGCATCAGCTGCTGGGAAAAAGCTAGGCTATTTGTTTGGAGACGACAATTACGTTTCTACTCATAATCTACGCACTACGCACTATGCACTATGCAAGTTAAATTACTGCCACCGAAATACTTGTTTATAAAAAAAAATTATTTTGATTAACGGTACAAAAGGACTTTTGCGAAACCTTGTCACGACGATGCGTAAACCAGGACGATTAGACAAGAAGTGACAATATTTCCTCACACATGGATTTAGTACAGTGCAGTAGAAATATAATATGCTGATACAGAGGATATTAACATGTGAACTTCAAGGCGCGAGATAAGATTCCATAGCGTAGCGACAATGCTAGCAAGAAATACAAGTACCAGGTAATAATTATAATATTATATAAAATACAGGATGATGATGGATATAACTCCTCCCCCCTTAAACTCTTAGAACGTCCTCGTTCTTATCGATCTCAATAGACTGATTTGACTTTCGAGATGATTTTTTCTCTTTACAGAACTTTTTTAATTTTACCACAAGCACAAACAATATAACAACAAATACACCTATTATAAGAGTGCTATTTACATGAGAATGGTAATTTTCAATATGGGTCAGTTTCTTAAGACTAAAACTAGCTACATTTGTCATCTGTTTCTGTGATAAGGATATTGTGCCTTTGATCAGTCTGAGATAATATAAAATTTCACGTAAAGGAATAAATAGTCTAAAAATCGAACTTTCATATTCGTAATCATAAATTGACTTCTTGACAGTTTATGATAGCAATTGTACGTTGTTTTGAATGACTGTCATATCGTTCTCAAATTTTTGTGAAATGAGCTGTGCGAATGATTTTTGATTATTGATGGCTATTATAAGTTCGTTTTCCTTGTCTTTTAATGATTGAAATTTGTCTTTGATTTCTGTAAGGTCATCTTGATCTAAATTTTCTGTCACATACCTAATTATGCTGCCAAATCCGTTAATAATTGCTCGACGCCTTCTACTGTGAGAATGATAAGGTGATAATTTTAAATATTCCATTTTTATATTATTAACATTTTTGTATAGGACCTCTAGTACCGGTTTGCGGTTGATCTCATTAGAACGGTTTACTACAATACTATAACTAGCTTCTATATGTCTAATAACATCAGCTATTAAGCTGAGAGTAGGGCTAAAAATAAATGTATGATAATGGCTTATTAATTTTGCGTCCTCAACGGCTCCGGGTAGAAACCCCTATTGGAAGACTCTGCGGCCATACGGTTGCCAGTAACACGACCACACACCAAAGATTCATGGGAAACGTTGAAAAAACGTTCGTCTTCTACCTTTTCTTCTTTCTTCGGCTTCACTAGTTTCTACGATAGACTAGTTGTGCCGCTAAAGATTCAGCACACCCTCCTAGCTGAATCGCTTCGATTGTCAAGGTTTTCGGGAGTTCTGGAATTTAGGACCGACGCCCAATGCTGCTTGACCTTAGTACCTTTACTCTGTTGTTGCTGACTGTGGATCCCGCTAAGAACTTGAAAGTGTGCTTGTCTATGACTGGTGATTTCGGCTGGCCGATACTCTGCTCGATTGCCTCGAATTCGGACGCCGAAGGTGCACGTTTCACGTTTCGCGACACGCTAAGGGATCCCGGTTGAGCCCTAGTTAAATATACTAAGTGACATATAAATCCGAACACCCAGTTTAAATGGTTTTATTTTAATAAAATTTTGTATAAGTACTTAATGAAGCATAATAAGTAATTGATAAAAATTTCAAAATGATTGCACTGCTTTAAAGCCCTTTGACCTTTAATAATGTGTGGATGCACCCTGATGTGCTACGCATTCTCCAACGCGCCTAGGCATGCTTCTGATCAGGTGGTCAATGTCCTCCTGTGGTATCTCATTCCAGGCAACCACCAACTCCTCTCGAAGTGCTTCTAGAGTTTGAGGAGGACGTTGCAAATTGAGCAATCTCCTACCCATCATATCCCACACGTGCTCAATTGGGGATAAGTCGGGAGATCTTGGTGGCCATGGTAACAATGTGACATCATTATGTTGAAAGAAGTCTATTGTGACTCTTGCAACATGTGGTCGGGCATTATCTTGTTGGAAAGTTGGATCTGCCAGGGTGTCAAGATAGGGTAAAAGATGGGATTCTAGAACTTCGTGGATATAACGCTGCGCGTTCATGTTACCTCTGATGAAGATTAAAGGTAACCTGGAACCATAAGCTATAGCACCCCAAACCATAACTCCAACAGTGTGATGAACATGTCTTTCAACAAAAAACTGTGGATTCCTCCTTTCACCACGTCGCCTTCTAACCCTGGCACGACCATCGTGCATGCCTAAACAAAATCGAGACTCGTCACTAAAGACAATACTGTTCCATTCCTGATCCCAGAGTGTCCGTTGTCTGCACCACTCAAGGCGATTACGTCGGTGTTCTCGAGTTAAAGGGAGGACCCAGTGTCGCCGGTATGAAAACAAGCCAAAACTTCTCATTCGTCGGTAAAACACTTCGCATGCCAATAGGTCTTCCGTGTTCTGCAAACCATTCATTTGCAATGGACCTGGTAGTGGAGAAACGGTCCCTTAAAGCCAATAATCTTAGGCGGCGATCTTCACGGTCTGTTGTTCTACGGCGGCGTCCAGTGCCCCTTGCTCTTTGCGTACGGCCTTCTCGAAGCCATGCCTGACAACACCTAATCACAGTGTCTACACTTCTTTGCACTCTAACTGCAATTGCCCGAAAAGAAAGACCAGCTTCCCGAAGTCCCACTATACGGCCCCTATCAAACTCACTAAGTTGACGAAATCGTACAGGTCTCCGTACTCTAGGCATCGTAACCGATCGTAAAGGATGCCAAGAACCAAAATCCGCCAACGTTGATTCTTTACTGCGGCTGAAATATTCATTTTTAGAGCGTTAGTGAATTAAAAAAAAGCAGTATAAAAACCGGAATGTCCTACTGATAAGGTTGAAAATTTTTTCACTTGTTATTTACAGTAAGATAAATACATTCACCAACTTTTATTAAAATAAAACCATTTAAACTGGGTGTTCGGATTTATATGTCACTTAGTATACTTGTTTTTGAAAAAACTTTATTTTGATTAACGGTACAAAAGGACTTTTGTGAAACCTTGTCACGACGATGCGTAAAACAGGTCGGTTAGACAAGAAGTGACAAGATTTCCTCACACATGGATTTAGTACAATGCAGTAGAAATATAATATGCTGATACAGAGGATGTTAACATGTGAACTTCACGGCACGAGATAAGATTCCATAGCGTAGCGACAATGCTAGCAAGAAATACAAGTACCAGGTAATAGTTATAATATTATATAAAATACAGGGTGATGATCGATATAACTTGCATACATACCTTATCGGTTGCTTCAACTTTAAGACAAACAAATTCCGCATCCAGGCCGTGTGTCTCGCATGTTTGATTTTCAGCAGTTTTAGTGTTGAACGGATCTGCACCGCAGTCGATACAAAAGTAACAATGGTTTGCTCCATTTGCAGGAGCTGAAAATTTTTATAATTTAATAACTTTTTAAGATGGCAGCTATGAAATCAGCGAATTTCATCCAACGCTCTGTAGTATAGTCCAATCATTTGCTAGTTCTACCTAGAAACTTTTTGGAAAGTTTTGAACAGTTGATACTCTCATAGATTTCGAGAAGTTATGGTAAAAATGACTGTTACAGTCATATTTCACTAAAGTAAAATTACTACAATTTATGCACCTTACATTTTTTCTGAGACGAACAGTTCTGGCGTATAAGCTGGCCAAAGTTCACCTGACCCATTTTGAGAAGCATTGCAGGTTCTTGGGCACCAAATGATTGGACTAATAACCTTATCTAGTTCTGTGCAAATGTGCATATCAATTTTCTCCAAAACTTACTCATTTTTTGAAGCATAAAAAAGGAAGGGGTTTTGATTTTTAACCGAGAACTATTTATATCTAAGAAAAAGTTCTTAAATCAGTTTCTACTTCTATACATGGTGACTTATCTAAACACGACAAACCTTTACTGTCTCATGTCAGACACTTTTGAACTGACTTTGTTGAAATTTTGCACTATAACAAATCTACAGCTCGTCAAGTGTAGAAAGAGATATGAGGATTTGCTGGGATTGCGCACACGAGAGAGAGAGAGAACGCATTCGGAGCAAAAGAGATAATATACGTATAATATAATAATATAATAATTTCAATAATGGAATACAATCATGTGAAGCCTGCTTTTTTTAACCGAAATTGTTGGCATGTGTCAAATTTTTAAATTTCTTCTTGTCAGACCAATATTCTAAATTTGGTAACTTCATTAACGTTACAAGACTAAGTTCTATCATTGTCAGCGTTAGATCATCAAGTCCACGAGCACCCGATCTTAAGCTATCTATTGCCTGTAGGAGGGATGTCTTTTAAGTTCTGGATATGGAAATAAAACAACACGGTAGGTAGTTTTAAACGACTTTATTGTTTTTCGAAGTATTCTCCACGAAGATTAATACAGATCTGCATGCGCTCGAACCAATTTTCAAAGCACTTATTCCACTCGTTTGCTGGCAGATCCAAAACGGCATTTTTGAATGCGTCAACTGCTTCTTCTGGTGACTGGAACCTTTGACCACGCAGTCTGTTTTTAACTTTCGGGAAAGGAAAGAAATCGTTAGGACTTAGATCGGGACTATATGGAGAATGGTCCAGTGATTCCACGTTTTTTGGGCTGTGTGCGAGCTTGCATTGTCTTGGTGGAGGATGATTCTTCTTTCGGGGTTGATTTTTCGAAGCTCGGTGATGACTTTTGGCAAACAAATGGTGGTATACCAATCCGCAGTAACAGTTATTTGCTCATTAAGAGGAATTGTTGCAATATGACCCGCTTTTGACACAAATGTCGCGACCATCTTTTCCGAAACACTTCGAGAACGAATGACTTTTGTTGGATTTTCTTCACCTTGGAACACCCAAACAGCCGACTGTCGTTTATTTTCTGGTTCATAACAGTAAATCCACGATTCATCACCACTAACAATGCTGCACATATTTTTTGAGTCTCCGGAATTGAAACGATCAAGCGTTTTTTGACAGCAATTAACCCTGGCTGGTTTCTGCTCTTCAGTCAACAGGTGGGGTATCCAACGAGAAACAAAATTTTCTTACTCCTAATTCTTCATGTATAATTTTTTGATTTGAGGTCTTTGAGATCTTCAAGCACGCCTCAATCTCGCGATATGACACATGTCTATCTTCAATGATGAGTTTGCGCACAGCATCGACGTTTTCCTGGGTGACTGCCGTTTTTGGTGCACCCACCCTGGGATCGTCGCTAAGACTCACCCGTACACGTTTGAATTTTCCATACCAATGGGAAATTGTCAACTGATGTGGCGCTTCGTTGCCGAAAACAGACAGTAACTCAGCAAGCCACTCTTTTTGCGATAATTGTCTCTGAAAGTTGTAATAAATTATGGCGCGAAAATGTTCTCGGTTGAGTTCTATTTTTCTAATGATTTGGTGACACTTAAAAATTCACTGTAGTGAGAACACTCCACATATTGTTGTGAATCTTCGAATTTAAGTTTACTAAAAAGTGAGGTTAAGATTCAGTACTGACGTTCGATCCGCGTGGCCTACTATGTTTCTATATGCAAAACTTAAAAGTCATCCCTCGTAGTTTCCAAATAGCGCTACAGGCTATAGGCTACAGGCGTAGATGTTTCTAGTGTTAAGTATGTTGATAAGGTACCTATACCAAATAAGGCCAAGGTCCTTATAAGGCCATGCGTCGATTTTACAGACACTAGTTACATCTAGAATTAAAGATTTCTACAGTTCTATAGATGGCGCAGTTGGCCAGTGTCGATTTTCAACACGTGCCTTATAAAATTACTACTTTAAATTTGTCTTCGATTTTTCATGTTGTCCGCTTCTTTTTGCGAAATCTGTTCAGTTCAATCAGGTAAGTCTATAGAACATATACAGCTAGTTATTTGTCGTCGCCAGGTTTTAAATATTTTGTATTTTATAAATTGTATGTTTAAGGTTATATGTGCCTAATAAGGCCATGATAAACGGTTCCCATTACGGCCACTTGGCCTTATTAGGAACACGCTGGCCATTACGGCAGATGTCTTAAATTAAGATGTTTTTTTTTTAGAGGCTATAGTCGAAATATGCCCTCTAAGAAAAGGACGCTGTGGTCAACCGAAGCGCTTGTACAAGCACTGGATAGTATAAACAGTGGAACGTCGGTAAATCGTGCATCCAAAGAATACCAAATTCCACGAAGAACACTTCGCAATCATGTTCGTACAGGTGTGCGAGAAAGAAAACTTGGTACTCGTACAATTTTGTCTAGAGAGCAGGAAGATGAACTATGCTCAAGGATAATCCGATTATCGGATACAGGAATGCCCCTTACACCAAAGATTTTGCGAAAATCCGTCTTTTCCTATGTTAATGACAAAAAAATTCGTCACACATTTAATGAAAATAGTGGAATGGCAGGTAGAAAATGGTTGAAGTTGTTTTTGGACAGACATGAAAATATTCGCCAAAGGAAAGCACAGGTTTTAAATCCAGCTAGGGCACAGAAAGTAAATAAGTACATTGTAAACGACTACTTCAAAAAACTAGAAATTTTGCTGATTAGACTAAACCTAATCAATCAGCCCCATCGTATCTACAATGTAGATGAGAAGGGGTGCAGACTCACCATTCACCGCCAACCAAATGTGTTGGCGAGGAAAGGTGAAAGACGTGTTCACTATGTAGCTAATGAGCACGCAGAAAATTCCACAATAGTTGCATGTGGAAATGCTATTGGACAGGCAATACCACCAATGGTCCTGTTCAAGGGAAAACGCAAAAAGGATGAATGGGGTGACAATATGCCAACCGGAACAGTAATTGAAATGACCCAAAAAGGAAGTATGACGGCAGCAGTGTTTGTTAAGTGGCTAGACCATCTAGCAAACTATAAGCCACCAGGAGATATTCTTCTCATTTTTGATGGTGCCTCTCCTCATTTGGATGCAACTATTGTTGACGCCGCCGAAAAACATCACATCACTTTATTGTGTCTTCCGAGTAACACGACACACGTGCTGCAACCGCTGGATATATGTGTTTTCCGCAGTTTCGAATATCATTGGGAAAATGAAATACTTAAACATTACAAGCGGTATCCTGGCAGGAAGTTGAATCGTGCAAGATTTGGAGAAATTTTGAGGAAGTGTATCCAAGGGCCATGTCTTCTGAAAATCTTCAGTCAGGATTTCGCGAAACAGGAGTATACCCACACGACCCAGCTGCGATCCCGGAGACTGCATTTACACCTAGTTTAATGTCAGAGAGGCCCGATTCAAATACGGCAGCTACAGATGTTCAGGGGAGAATGAGGAAAACCATGATGTCAGCTTTACAGAATCTGATGACATACCCCTTGCACTACTGATGGCCAACGGAACTTCAATGTTACAGATAACAGCTACTTCTAATGAAAAAGAAATAAACTCGACTAAAAAGTTCTTGAAACAACAAATCTTGTGACTGGTCAAATAGACAGTGATCAATTGGATCTAAGTTTCAGGGAAGTACTTCCCACACCCGAATGGAAGGCCAACGCCACAAAAGGACGAAAAGCCATCAGTTCTACTGCGCAAATCGTCGTAAGAGATTTGTTTAAAGACCCAAATCCAGGTCCATCCGGCTTAGATAAAACAATAAAAAAATCTAGAGAGTCTGGAACCGTTTAAAGCAAAAGGTCCCGAAAGAATAAAGACGAAAACTGGTACTGTTTCATATGCGATAAGGATGAAGTACGTGACATGCATCTGTGTGTAGTATGCTTAAGATATGTCCATGAGGAATGTGTAGGCTTGTGTAGAGGTGATAAAGTATCATTTGTTTGTCATCATTGCGAAGGCAAAATCTAAGATTCTGTATGACTTTCTTTAAACAAGTTGACTTTTTTTATTTAAATCTGTCTAGATTTAAGTGTTTTTCTAATTTTGTTCAATTAGAAATATAGCTTCGTTTATTATACAGTCTTGATTTACATTTTGATTGTGGTTTTATTGAAAACCAGATGGTGGCCTTATTTGGATACATGGGTTCCTAATAAGGCCAACGGTAGTGTTTCGAAAAATACATTTTTTTATATGAAAAGAAAAGATCTCTGAGTTCTCCGATGTAGCTTGTGTAATAAACATATCTACAATAATACCTTTAAAATTTCAAGGTCGTTTCGCAAATATTTACGCTGTTACAGCTATCCAAACGTTAATGTGGCCTTATTTGGTACAGGCACCATCGCTCTCACTTTGGTAGGCATTGGTAGACAAACAATTCATTAAAACTATGCAATTTTGGCGACAAGCACTGCAATCTAAACATATGGGTTTTGCTCCTTCCAATCGCAAATTGAAGGTCGCTGCCGTTGATGACCTTTGCATAGATGAGTAGAAACACAAATAAAAAATATTTACGAAGTGTGATAAACTACAAACGG